CGCTCGCAAAGGCGAGATAGCGTCGAATTGGTTATAAGATTTAGACTATAGTTGAGTGATGAGCATAGGGACGCGAAAATGTCACGTCATTGAAGTGCATTGACGCGTTCGGCCGTTTGCTTACCTAACTTCGACAGTCACCACCTCCTCAGCTAGATTGTGAACATAACCAGCATAGGTACCCTTGGCTCTACCCACCTTCGCACGTCTACATGATTCTTTGTTAGATGTCCATTGAAGTCACACTGCAACAGCTCCTCGACTACGCCTCTACGGCTTTCCTAGCGTTATCGACGCGGTTGTGACGCTGAAGTCTCTAGTAACATCAAATAGCGCGTCGGATGCCATACCATCCGCGAAAACTGGATGGAATCGAAACAGTTCAAGGAGAATAAGGCGGTATGGCGTCCGTTATCCAACAGCGACATCGTCAGCCTCGTTCAGGTGGCCAACAGAGTCCACCCCGGTCTTCCAGAAAGCAACGAAGTCTTCGCAGAGCGCGCCAGACTTTTCTCGCAAGGCTGTCAGGGCCTCTTCGATGAGACAGGTGAGCTTCGCGGATATATCATCTCGCATCCTATCTTGTTTCGCGAACCGCCAGCTCTAGACAGGCTTCTTGGACAAATCGCTCTAGACGCAAACCAATATTACATTCATGATTTGGCGATTCTTCCTGAATTCCGTGGGTCTGGTTCAGCGCACGAATGCCTTATAAACATTCTGGAGACTGTCGCAGAGCAATACCCGACTACTAGTCTTGTTTCTGTCTATGGAACAGCGGAGTTCTGGGGGCGGTATGGGTTCAAGGCTCCAGAAACAATCGATGACGAACTAAAGAAGAAGATTTTGGGCTACGGTGATGACGCCTTGTATCTCGAACGCGAGAACGAGGCACATTCATCTGATTCAAGGGTGTAAAGGATGTGTTCTCTAAGTCGGGGAGACTTTTGTTATTCATCAAAGTTGATTGAACAAATGTATAATACATTCCAAGAAAGAACACATCCTTAATTCCTCGGTTCCACCACGATATGCATATGCGCATTTTCGGAGCTGGAATTAGCGAGCACATTTACTGAAAGACTAGACCGCGTTCCTAGCCCTTTTCTCAGATCATGCAGTAACCTATCAACTTCCTTTATCTTCCTAATAGATCTTACTCATGATCTAACACGTTGATATCTTTCTGCATCCTTGACCGGTACCAAGATTAGGCCTCCCAAGTATCATTAAGTAATTTTAGACCGTGATTCGATTGCGGAGATAGGAAAGAGCGGTCCCTATTCAAGAGTGTCGTCTTCGGCATCGAACAACACATGAGAATTCGAGCCCAGAGCAAGGTCCGGGATGTAGAGGCTGAACACCGCTGATGTCGTTCTGGAATTTAAGGTCGGAAAACCCATTGAAGCCTTCTTTTTAGGACCACGAAGTTATACGGACATCAGCTGTCCAAGCGATGTATGAGTTGCGACACACGTCCTGCATAGTACCAGCTTCTACCTTCCACCCTTGGTCGGAGCCTTGGAATACCTGGGTATGTGAAAGCTGTCTGAGACATGAAATCAGCGCTTGTCATCTTTACCTGTCCAAACATGCTCTATGTCTAACTTCAGCGTCACCTGTATGGCATCACGAAACGTCTTCGCAAGAGTATTGACCAATTTTTCCTAGCATAGTTCTTCAGGTGTGGGCCGTAGAAGCCGTAGCTAGGTTTGGAGAAGAAATTTATGGCATGTAAGATCATGCGAGCTTAAGGCAATGTCTACTAGTCACAGTATGATTGTACGCCTGACGTGTACCACATAATGTAACGACAGCTTCCGGTTGTCTCGAAAACAATGCAAACAATGCAGGATAAGCAAGATGAACTGCGTGTCAAATAGTTAAGCAAACGAGGTTGATCGCGTAAAGCCCATCGATGATAATTCAACAAAGGTGTATCTCACTCATAACAGTCCCATCAATACAAGCCTCAACTTCCAGACATCTCATCCATCCTACAACTAACAACTAGCACGGCCATGGTCAGGGTGACTAGCATAGTCTTGTGCCTTTCAACAACCCTTGGCGTCTCTACCAACAATGAATGGGCGGCATCCTCAATCTCAATCAGAACACGATCAGTGCCTGTAGGCTTTAGTCCAGTCGCTGAAGTGATTGTGGAATTGGCGAAGAAACATCAGCATAACCACCTAGAGAATTGTTTGAGCCGTAGAGATCTGCGATGTCTCCATCATCTTGTAAAATCCAGAACTGTGCAGCTAGTTCTATACTTGTGGGTGAGATTATCTCGATCACTCTTGTTGAGCATACATTCCTACTTCTTTATCAGGGAGAAATGTACCATGGGGTCGAAGACAATGCAGGGGATAGGGAGGACGGTGAGGAACTGAAGAGAGCAACAGAGATGAGTATGATACAGCACTGACGTATGTTCAATGATATAGTCCGTGTAAAGACATTAGTTTTGTAAAGTCATGGAATCGCATGTGAAAGGCCAAGATATAGCTAATCTAGATCTTGCAGAGTGTCTGCATTGCCTCCTTTGTGCTCTGCGACGTCTCCTTGACCACCTTGATGATCTCCTTGAACCTGTCGGATGTTAGCGCCCGAACATGAACAACAGCATGTCCGCTTTGCTTACTCAGGCGTTCCTGCATCTCCAACAAATTCATACATGAAGCTCTCGCTCGTAGTGACCACGGCACCTTCATGCCTCAGCCTCGCCAAAGCGACGGGCACCTCCTCCTTGTTGCAGGAGCTTACGCCATCAGCAATGACATATACTTTGTGTCCGGATCGGAGGAGATCGAGTGTGGTCTGGGTGACGCAAATGTGGCTTTCGATGCCAACGATGATACAGGAGAGTGGACCGGAGGCATTGAGTGAGTCGAGGGCTTGCTTGACTTCTGGTGTTCTAACAACAGTCAGCAGATGACTTGGGACACACATCATCCATGTTGTAGCTCACATCATAGAAAAGAGTGTCTTGTCAAGATGACAGACTGTCTTGATGCCATCGGGCTGATCCAACTTCAGCTCCGGACATGTCTCGCCCAATCGCGCTCTGTTCTGGGTTGTTGCGAATACGGGAATGTTCAGTAATTTGCCTGACGGTGTTGGTCAGCAATAAGCGCGTGGGGCGAAGTGTGTAGCGACAGAAAATGGGCAAGCCAGCCTGAGACCTCTAGGCTGACAATCCGGGGGTTCAAGAGGCTGGAGATGCCATGTTGGGTGTCTTATTTGGACTTTGAAAGAAGATGTTGGTATGGGATGGGCAACGCACTTGCTTTGAGCAGCTTCTGTGCAGTCGAAACGACTTTGGGGAATTCATATATAGCAGGACGGAACTTCTCTTGAAGATCGCAGATACTGTGATGGTATTAGTAGGGGAAATGATAGTCGCCGCGGGAAGGCATACAAGAGGGCGGGGTTCGCTATGGTCCATCAGCCCACTGTCGCACGAGATGTTGCTGAGCCGCCTACCAATGCGTCGCTGAGCCATGGCTGAAGAGAATGTTCGATGAGCAGTTCTACGGCAGGTGAAGGACACACTTGGCTGTGCAACGCGTAGGAGGAGAGATGCCATGATAGTCGATGCGCGTATGCAAGCCGCATGCGAACGTGCCTCGGCTAGAAGGAACGACATGGTCGCTTCCCCATCTGTCCAATACGCCTGCCGTACCAATGTCATCATGTGACCAGGCAGAATGCCGGGCATCTGAAACAAGTCCGCCCGTAGACAATTGCCTGCATATTGAGCCCCAATTTACCGCGTCGAAACAAACCCATTCCAAACGCGAGAATGTTCGGCCTCTGACATCAGTACTCAGGAGGCTATACTTGGGACCAGAGGCGCGGGTACCCTGTCCATTACGAGATACCGCTGTTGGTGCTGTCCCTGCGTCTGCTCACGCGGTGATATACCGGCCAGATACAGATCTGACAAGACGGGAAATAGACGTTTGCAGCATGGCTGGTGGTGGACAAAGTCGGAGCAAGAAGGCATGGCGGGCGGTCTGGTCTGACTGCGATACAACAGACGCCCCTACAATCTCACGAGCGGCCGTCATCCCCTACGACATGGACTGCACGAGACAGGAGACGCCCATGCTTAGCTGGACATGAGTTCTCCAGCTACCAGGAGTTCGTCGGCTAGTCAGTCAGCAAGTCGACTCTCCTGTCTCTGCAGCGTAGTAAGCTGCCATGTCTATAGCGTACTGCGCACGACGGAGTGGCCCGTTGCATACAACCGTCTCCGCACGGTCAGCATGGTCAGGGCTGATGACGGCTGACGGTGTGGCGTGGGCAGTGCTTTTTCCCTTACTCTGTGTTCTGGGCGCGGGGAACGTCACAGGCGTGGTGGGTGGTGATGGTGGTGAAAGAAGGAAGGTAGTCGTGTCTTGTCCGCTGGGCTCGAGGAAGCCAGGTGCAGCAAATACGGCCGCACCCCGCCATGCTGCAGCGCTGAATCTATTGAATTGCGTGTTATATTGTCCATGGAGAAGGCGCCCCTGTCGCAGTCACACGTCCCAAAGCGCCTTAGAGGCAGCCCTGTGCGTTCATCCCTCCTTAGGACCTGCTAGGCGTGGCCCAAATGCTCGAGCCCATGCATGCCGCTGCACTGCAACTAACCGCACATAACCTCTTGCTGTCGAGTTCCTCTTCTTTCGCTGTCCGCAGAGCCTCGATTCCCGACTGCCTCTAGCCATTGTTTAGCGCTGACGGGCGGAACCACAGTCGACGCCGGAGACATTTAGCAGCGACGAGTGCAGACCAGGCTCTCACAGCAGGGGTTCACGCACCAGCATCTCACGACGCCGAATTCCCCGATACTCCTTCACCGTGTGCTTTCACGCATTCCACCAACTGCCTTCACTTGCTCTGGAAGCATCTCCCCATTGCCGACTCCCCCAGGCTCTCTGCACTAGCCCTACGCCGGCCGCAGCCCCTCCCCGAGTACCGCCATTGCCATAGCCAGCGAGCGCCCACTAAAGTTTATGAGCGACCGCCGCCACAACAACCCACAATATCTCTACATACAACACCCCCAGCCCATTCATTCGGACCCTCGCCGGACCAAAGTGCCCTCGCCCGCCCTATATTCTCCCGCCTACTCACCCCTACCGCTCCCTCCGCAGCACCCTCTGCAGCACCACCACCACCTACAGTACGCCCACGTGCCGCCGTACCTGCTGCTGCATCCCTTTCTGCAGCTCGCGCGCATCGACGAAGTGCATCAACCCGCCTCGCACACGCCCTTCCCCGCCGTAATTGTGTCTCCCCACTCGCTGAGCCCGCCTCCCCAGCGGGACTCAGGCCGCACCCTCTCCAAGAAGCCTCCCGTCAAGACGGCACAGGCGCACACAGATGACACAGATGGGAATAAGGATACACAGCGTAGCGTGCCCACCAGCGCGCCCACGATGACATCAAACCGTCTGCCAAATATGTCGAGCAAACGGGAAGACGCGGGCGCCCAGACGCGCGCCCAGCGCCCGTCTATCGTCTCGCAACACTCGAATTCCGTTCCCTCGACGCCCCTGCAGGTCGCCCGCAAGTACAGCACGCGCTCGCGCTCCCCCTCGCCCAACGGCGGACTGGGCAGCCATTCGCCACGCTCAGTCTCGTCCGAAGCCAACGGCACTATGCCTACACTGAGACCCGCGCGTCCCTTCAAGTGCAGATTCGAGACCAATGTTGGTATGCTAGGTCGGAGACGCATGCCCTACCAATCAGACGAGATACTGGAAAAGGCCAAGGAGGAGCCAAAGAAGAGCTTGGATCCCAACGAGGACGACAAGTTGAGTGGAGATATGCGGGAGCTGTACGATCGGTTAGTGCCGAAACAGGAAGACGAAGATACTCGAGCGCGCTTTATAAGAAAGGTGGAGCGTATACTCCAGACTGAGTTTCCTGGTACCAAAATCATGGTCCATGTATTCGGTTCTTCTGGCAACATGTTATGGACATCTGAGAGCGATGGTAAGTGCCACGCGGCATCTCGAGGTCCACACTAACAGAAACAGTCGATATTTGCATACAGACGCCCATGAAAAGGCTCGAAGAGATGCACCCAATAGCCGAGGCTTTGGACAAACGTATGAAACACCACAAATCAGATTGATTGAGACTGACCTCCTTAGATGGCATGGAGCGCGTGGTATGCATACCAGCAGCCAAGGTCCGGATAGTAAAAGTCTGGGACCCTGAGCTGCAACTCGCCTGCGACATCAACGTGAACAACGTCGCCGCAATCGAGAATACGCGCATGATTAAGACCTACATACAGCTCGACGATCGTGTTCGACCGCTCGCCATGATTATCAAGCACTGGACAAAGAGGCGTATCCTGAACGATGCTGGTCAGTCTGCTACATACTTACCCTCCTTCCCGACTAACATCGCCCAGGTATTGGTGGCACAATCAGCTCGTACACATGGATATGCCTGATCATCAACTTTCTCCAGACACGGGATCCGCCGGTCCTTCCTACCCTGCATGATCTTCCCGATCGAGCGCTAGACGAGACGACCGGCCAGCCTTCGTTATCGAGTTTCGCCGACGATATAGACAAGCTGAGGGGTTATGGAGACAAGAACAAAGAAAGTCTGGGTCACTTGATGTTCCATTTCTTTCGTCTCTACGGACACGAAATCGATTATGAGAAAGACACGATATCGGTACGACAGGGCAAGCGAATACCGCGAGAAGAAAAGGGCTGGCATCCTGGCGGTGGCCAGAAAGAGGGGGTTAATCGCCTCTGTGTGGAAGAGCCTTTCAACACGGAGCGTAATCTTGGAAATTCTGCAGACGATTATGCTTGGCGTGGTATACACCTGGAGATTCGTCGCGCTTTCGACCTCCTTGCAGACGGCCAGCAGCTCGATAAAGCATGCGAGCAATTCGACTATCCACCGGAGGAAAAGTCGAACGCGATTTTCAAGAAACCTCAGTCGCAGAAAGCTATTATTACCTCTAGTGTACCAAACCGGAACGGACGAGGAGGTCCGAATACGCGTGGAGGCAGAGGAGGCTTTAACCTGAAGGGTCAGCATGGAGGTAGCAGGCGATCTTCCGGTAGCTCCAACTACGGTCAGGGTCGACCACCCTTCCTACATAGTCCGCCGATCCCAGCGAGCGCTGGCCCGGAGTATTTCAGCTTCCCAAGAGGCATCCACGATCAGCTACACGACCAGCTGTATCAGCAATACCAAATGCTGGAGATGCAGTCGAACTCTCTACGTGCGCAGTTGGCTGCTCAACAACACGCTCAGCAAGCACATCAAGTACGGGCCGCGCAGATGCATGCCCACGCCGTTGCCCAGGCACAGGCGCAAGGTAGAGCATCTAACAGTACAAATGGGTCGCCGCAAAAGTCGCCATACATCAACGGTCGACAGAGCCCTCGTTTGGCTGAACGTGGAATACCTCCAAACTCGCTTCCTCAGGGCTTTCTATATCACTACCCTGGCTTCTTCACTTCGCCTCAGTCTGATCCCAACGGCTCACAAGATGGATCACGAACCAACCCTTCGTCTCCTTCTTTGAGCAGTAGTATACCCGGCGTACATGGAGTGCATCGCGCATCCAATGCAAGCGAAACAAGCTCTCTTCGTTCGCACTCACAGCCTCCTCGCAGTGCGGGACAACAGCCTGTCATTGTGGGATACCCACCTGTACCTCAGCTCGTTGATCCTGCACAATTTGCTGGTTATCCAATCGCACGATCATCGAAAGATCCTTTGCGACCACAGATGACGTCGGACATCCCGATGAAGCCCAACACGTCCCAGCCAGAGTCGGGTCTATCTTCTGACAACAGTTCGCCCAAGGAATATGTTGGCTACTACGTTGCAGAACAACCGCAGGCACGCCCGCTACAAGAATATGCTGTTGGATCGATTCCATCCTTTAGCGAACTGGCTCAGCGTCGTCGACGCGTCTCGCCAGAGATCACCCAGCCTCTTCTGAACACTGCTTTACGACGAGTGACGCGATCTCCTTCGCCACTTGGGCATATGCGTAGTTACTCTACAAGTGTTACTCAGCCGAATGATGTGCCACCTACTGAACAGCGCAAGTCACGCATTGACTCTGTCCGTCCACCTGTTGACAACGGTCCAGTCATTGTTAATGGCTCGTTTCCAAGCCAACCTCGTCCTAGAAGTGATACGGTAGAGACTGTGCCGCAGGAGATGCCACCTCAAGTTTCACTTGGGGCATACGCCAATGATCAGGCTATACATCAGATCCAGCAGCTCCAAGCGCGGCAGCAGTTGGTTCTTCAGGAGATGGAAAGACAAAAAGCAGTGCAAAACATGGGTCCCCCCATTGTGAATGGCTCGATGAACGGTGCCCCACCAGTGGAGACAAATGGCTTGACGCGCGTGCCAAGCGAGGGCCAGCAAGCATTTCCTACGTTCGGGGATGGCTGGGTAAACTACGATGCCACTAACGGTCACCAAAGCGACCGAAGCGATGACATTTCACCAACTCGCTCGGTTCCCCATCAGTGGGGCGCACCAGCCTACAATAACGGCCTACCTCCTCTGGAAACTTCAAATGTGCAGCGAGCACATCCTCAAGAGATCAAATCTGCGACAATTCCACTGCTATCGCCTGTGTTCGAGACGCGTACGCCTTCGCCTACTGCCGGCAGATCTGCAGATCTTAACAAGCTCGTCAATGGTAACAATAGTCACAAGTCGCAGGTGAAGCCAAGCAACCAACAACATCGTCGCGCATCGCTTACAGGTGGATCGAATGGTAACGCCAAAGAAAATCGTAATGGTCAACAGCAAAAGAACAACACGAACAATGAGAGGACGAACAAGCCGAGCGCGACAGGCAGTAGTCCCAATTCTTGGCAACAGCAGCCTCCTCGTAAGAAGGGGAAGAACAAGAAGCCGAGAGCTCCAGACCAGAAGTCAATGGGTGAGCCATTGCCCGTCAATGCCGCTGATCGCAAGGGTGGCTAGATATTTGTCGTTGCCGTCGATTTGAAAACTACAGAGATCGTTATTCGGTCGCTCGCTTGGTTCGCTTTTGAATAGCGGAGACACGTCACAAAATTGCATTTTGAAGTTGAGCAGCCTGGGGCCAATTTGCACGCCGGATTCCAACTGGTGGGACAGGCCAATTCATACGATGCCATCACGAGACAGAAACGGTGAGATGCCACTGAAAAGAGAGAAAAAGAAGGGAAATCACCCGTCGGACGTCACACACATCGACAATATGTCGTTGACTCTGCTGTTACACTCGGGGGCGCGAATGACGCGCTCGCGCAGAGCGCTTTGTGTTTCTTTCACTTGGTCGGCGTTATTGTTTTGCTACGCGCGACATGCATGTTATCGCATCATCTTGGAGTTTAATTTCCCTATTGTTTTCTTCCGGGGTGCGGTCTTTCGGTTCACAAACATCTCGGTACACAACAGCATTGTTTTCTCTGGTCTCTCTTGGGTCGCAGGCTGCGGAACTCTGTCATGGGCTGGCTCATTTTGATGTTTATTACTGGTTGCGAACACGGACATGGAAAGTATTGAGGCATGTATAGATAAAAGATGAGCGAACGTGCCTGTCGATTTGTACGAGGTTCGGGCTCTCTGGGACGAGATAGAGGAATGGGAAATTGTTAAAAGTCGTTGTCAACATTCTTTGAATGACGATGTGTAGGAATCACATTGGCTCGTGACAATGTTTGCTGTAGCGTGCGTCTACACTTCATTTGCATGATGGGGAGCGATGATCAGTGACTGCCCCTTCACACTTGATGCTTTCCCCCGGCCTATGTAGCTTTGATACGCCCTCATCTAAGCCCCACAACCTCAAAACTGCGTGACTTCCAACAGACAGATTGAATTCACCCAACGCTTCATCCGCACACAGCACGACGATGCGACAACACACTTACGCAGAACTCCTTGTCCACTCTATCATGGTGCCTTGCCTCGCTATGTCAGTTGTGTTTCTCAGCATACTATCATGCTACGACGGGCAGCGGGAAAAGCGAGTTCGTAGACACGGAACAAAGCGCAATTGAATTGTATGAGAGAATATGGTAAGAGGCAAAGAAGACTCCAAAAATACAGGATTGCTTCGTTACTCCAACCCATAATGCAATTTCCTTCCTCTTTCCTTGAGCAAGTCACAACATCTCCCACTCTCCTCATCCAAATATTCTGCACCTTCCCTCACTGTCCAACCCTTCGCACCACATTCATACACTACTGCACTCTTTGCTCTCGCCAACATGACATCAAAAGCTTCCATCAAAACATCCATCGGTGTTAACAAACTCTCCTTCTCCAGACTATGATAGAATTCCTCCGCACTAATCCCCGTCCTGACAACATTCGGCGCCACAGCATTGATAGCGATACCCTCTTCCCAGAGCAATGCGCCGTAAGATCGCGTTAAGCCGATCAAAGCGTGTTTTGCTGCTGTATATATGGGTAGACTGGGTACACAGTAAAACCCACATACACTTGCTACCAGACCAATTGTGCCGCGCAGGAGATACGAGTCTTCGGATCCCCTATCCCCCCAAACGACAAGATCCTGACGTCGGAAATGCTGTATCGCTAACGCAATGGTATAGAGAACACCAGTGAGATCTATATCGATAACTGAGAGATCGGGTTTCGTGAATGAATCGAGAGGCTGCTTGCAGCTCTCAGAAGGAAAGGGAAGCCATTTCTTCTCGCCGATGCCTGCAATAGGGAATATACAGGAGATGCGTCCACCGAGAGCTTTGAGTGCGGCTTGAAAGACAGAGAGCTGAGATTCCCAACTTGACGTGTCGCAGGTAGCATAGTAGAGGACGGTGTTGTTGGGCGTGTTGTGCTGGTCGGCGAGGTGTGTAGCGCCAGCCGTGTTGCGGTCGGCTATGAACACTTTGTAGTTTTTGGATAGGAGGTGGGTTGATAGGGCGAGACCTATTCCACTTGCGCCACCTGTGAACATTGGTTAAGATCTGTTAGATTTAAGGTGGAGCAGCATGGAGTACCTGTTATGTATGCCGTCTTGGGCTGATCACCCATATTCCTGTGTAGCTCTTCTTTATGATTGTTAGTTGACTGTGAGAGAATAGGAGCGTACGTAGGTGCAAGATTAGCATGCTGTTCATATATGCGATTTGTAGGTCATTTTAAGCTTCCCCGCAGTCGGGAGGCACATAGAGGATGCGGGGTTGTGCCAGAGACTTTAGACCCAATCGAAAGCATATCCAACATAATCTCTGTTTGTTTGGTGCGTTTGACATGATGGCTGTGAGTGTAGCATTTGAAATTACTTCTAGAAAGTATGACTGCGATGTTTGTGTCAAGCTAGCCTCAGGAGCGTCAATCATATGTTTACCCCTCAGAAACTAAAGCCCAATTAATATACGAGCATATGTTTTGGCTTCTTCAGCCACCAAAAATACTCTATAGCTAGGCTAGAGATGTTGAGAGTTGTTGACATAGGCTGGGACCTCGGGAGGATCGATGATAGTGACGTCATATCATCTGCTCACTTGAGCTCGCATACTGGCACATCGCGAGATACACACACGCAGTCACGGGAAGCCGTGATAGAATGTTGACCTATCAGAGGAGGCTAAAAGAAGGCTAACGCATGCATGACGAGGACGTAGATGTACAAGTTTCAACGAAGAAAAGAAAATGTTGGGTCTGAAGCTCCGCGACTTCCGATCGTTCGAGCCTGATGTTACCTACACGTGGAAGCTGAAACTCATGACATCCACTGAACATATATATATATATATATGTATAGCACAAGAAACTGACTACAGTAACCACTTTGTACTCCTGAATCTGTTCCAAAGGGTTATTACTTCTCAAGCTTCCCGTCAGGTTTCTGACGACGTCATTGTTACTCCACATCGAAACTACCTAGCTGGGCTGGACATCCGGACAAGCATTGAAACTTGAGTTGGTACATTTAGCATCCATCAGAGCAAAGATATCTTGGCCATATCCCCTGACAACCACCCCCACGAGTCGCGACCATGCCTGAGATCATCCTCTCGATCAACGCAGGATCCTCTAGCGTTAAGATCTCCGTCTACAAAACCCCGGAGGATGGCGCCTCGGTACCGAAACAACTTGCTGAAGCAACTGTCGAAGGCCTAACTGCGCCGCCTGCAAAGCTCAAGTATGAGCGTGGAGACAAGAAGATCAAGGGAAAGGAGCTAGAGAATGTTACCTCACAAGAAGACGGATTCCGCTACATCCTAGATCACCTGACCAACGATGAAGGCCTTCCTGAACTCAACCACAAAGAGGACATCCGCTTCACGTGCCATCGCGTCGTTCATGGCGGTGACTACCCCAGAAGCCAGGTCATCGATAAGGAAACATACCACCACATAGAAGAGCTTTCGGATCTAGCCCCCCTGCACAACGCGCCTGCGCTCACCATCGTTCGAGCCGTAGCAGACATCCTGCCACACGCAAAGAACATCGCTTATTTCGACTCCTCGTACCACAACACACTGCCAGAGTACATATGCACCTATCCAATCGACCAAACGGTCGCACAGAAAAACAAACTGCGCAAATACGGTTTCCATGGCATAAGCTACTCGTTCATCGCAAACGCCGTATCAAAGCACCTGAACAAGCCGCTCGATCAGATCAACATCATCGCTCTACATCTAGGCTCCGGTGCTTCCGCATGCTGTATCAAGGGTGGCAAGTCGCTCGATACGACCATGGGTCTAACCCCCCTCGCAGGTTTACCAGGTGCCACACGCTCTGGCTCCATCGATCCATCTCTCATGTTCCACTATACACACAGCGCAGGAAAACCCTCGCATAGTTCTAGCGAGAAACTGCACATTACGCAGGCTGAAGAGATCTTGAACAAGAATAGTGGCTGGAAGAGTCTGACCGGGACTACTGATTTTGGGCAAATCAGTTCTTCCGAGAGAAAGGAGGATAAATTGGCGTTTGACATCTTCGTCGACCGTATTCTGAACTACGTGGCTCCCTACTTTACCAAGTTGGATGGTGAGGTCGATGCTCTTGTTTTCGCGGGGGGTATTGGTGAAAAGGGAGGAAAGCTGAGACAGGCTGTCGTCCAAGGAGTTAGGTGTTTGGGTTTCAAGATTGATGAAGACAAGAATGCGAAGCAGGTTGAGGATGTGGTTACCGACATTAGTGCCGGAGATGCGAGGTACAAAACGTTGGTCGTCCAGACGGACGAGCAATTGGAGATGGCACGGGGAATCCTGGAGGATAAAGATAGGTTTGTGGGGAAGAAGTGATTAAGTAGGTTGATGCTTGACGAGACATGAAAGCACGCGTTGGTAAGAGATTGTAATGGTATTCTTCTATTTTTGACGCTAGGCCGATAGTCTATGGCCTGCGGTGAATACCACGATGCACTGCGTGAGTGCATGTCATTGGGTATTGCTCCCGGGTGATGTAATGTCTTTGGTGAAATTCAAACGCCATGTCATGATCCAACCCAATCCGTCCTAAAACGCCGTTTGAATGCACTAGATGAAGCCAAACTCTGGGGAAATGTCCCTCGGAGTCTGAGCCAGGCTGCTCTTATGAGGTGACGGGGCAGTTGCCCCGGGCTCTATAGAACTCCCTCTTCGGGAATGTGATTGCGACGTAGTCTATACTTGTCCAATGGGTACTCCAAAATTGAGCGGAGGACTCTTGAGCCTGACTCCGTCGACGACTTCGGTGGCGCATGAATTACGAGATTCGGCAGATCCTTTGCGACTCAGTGGCAAGCCTTCTTCAGCATTGTCTGCGGTGGCCGGGGGAGCGGCGAGTTCGGGGGCATCTTTTAGTTTGCTGAACCTGTCCTGGTCCTTGGCAACCTTCTCGAGCACATCATCGAGCACGTCCAGTGCTATGTGGTCACTAGCGCCATCGACGGGATTGGTTGGTAGCATGAGCGGACCTATCAAGGGCTGATCTTCTGGTGGTGTACCGAACCGTGCTTCTTCCTCGTGAGC